ATATATATGCAGCATAATTCCAAAAAATATTATCTTGACAAGGTAAATTGCATTTGACAGCTATGGCAAGAAAAAATATTTTCTGTGAAATACAACTTGAATTATGTATGTATGTATGTATGTATGTATGTATGTATGTATTTTTCAGTTCCAAGTATTGGTCTTTGCTTTCCGAAGACATTGAATATAAAGCATGATTCTTGTGAACTACTTTCTTGTCACTGATTTTGACCATCTCTGGTTATTATGTACTTTCATTGTACAGTATGAAAGAGCAGCTCTGACAAGCTGCAAAATAACTACTTCTGAAATTAATTCATGTTGGTGATTAAATGGTGCCAATTTTCATTTTTGGCAGAACTATTCCTATAAGAGAAAAAATAATTAAATAAGGATTGATGAGATGGAATGATGGGCAAAAATGAAAGATGCAGCAGTGTATTGTTTTAAATGGTTGAGTGACATTTAGAGTCCTTGGGGGAGGAGTTTGTTTCTCTCTCTCCACTGAGTAAAGAATCTCCGCCGGCCCTCAGGAAACAACCAGGGCTTTAATTAAACTCACATTACAGGTGAGTAATCTTATCTCAATAACCATTTGTAACTAGGAAAAAAACGTCCCATTGGGGACCCAGGACTGAAGCAGACGCCGATAAACACACACACACACTGAAAAACAAACAAAAAAGGGATTTTTTGTAAAGACTTAAAACATATTTCTGACCTATCCATGAAAAATGCAAAAGTTTCAGGGAAACAAAGGCATATTTCACAGTATTTAGTGCAACAAAAAAAGGGTTTTTATTCTGTAAAGATTTAAAACATATTTCTGACCTATCCATGAAAAATGCAAAAGTTTCAGGGAAACAAAGGCATATTTCACAGTATTTAGTGCGCGCGCACACACACTCACACACATCTTTTAAACTATGACGGTGCATAACCAGATCAGATCCTAAACCAGACATTCCCCAGTGGGACACTGTTCTTTTATAACACACTCACCTGTGGAACCGGAGGCAACCGCTGTGTGTGAGATTACACTGCGAATAAGAGCATTCTTCCTGAGGATCTCGATCCCTCCCACATATGTATAGAAATACACAGTTGTGAAAAGCATGCACTGCATTAGAACAGAGTCTATGAGCATTAGCATTCATGCTTTCTGGGCTACTGTGTGTGAGTGAGAGACTTTTAAAGCAGCTGAAGGCGGAACAGAGTGGGACGAGATCACTGCAGGCAGACGGAGAGGAGAGGAGAGGAGAGGAGAGGAACAAGGTGAGGATATACATGGACGGTAAATGGAGAGGAGAAGGATAAATTACATGAAAGTATAAAAGAGAAAAATACTAAGGAGAGGAGAGAACAAGAGGAGAGCTGCAAATGGAGTGGGACTTGTGTAATGAGGAGAGAGCACATAACTGTCTTGACAGTCTCTAGACTCAAACCACTCCACAAATTGCTGAGCACAGACACACACAAATTAACACTCCATCGAGAGTAAATCTCCTATAGCCACATTTCATAAGTAGAAATACTGGAACAGTTAATGTTGAAATGAAGACAGCTATCTCTTATTAGGCTAACACTGATGTGAGTTCAACCACAGACAGTCCTTTCATGATGGATGGATCAGACTTTAACACAAAAGTTAATGAACACGCACACACACATACACATATCGCACTATCATCTTAATGCCACATGCTCTGCGTTCGGCTCCTAGCCATATAATTAAGCTCCAAGCTGCCGACACCTCAAAACAATAGACTTCATTGTGCTTTCTTTTTAGCCAGTCATGTGACAGAATTTAGTCAGGCAGACCCTACATGTGAAAACTTCCACACACACACACACACACACACACACACACACCTGGCTTTGTAAGTTGTAATTAGCCATATGCAACAACCTGACAATATCACAATGACTGTAGCATTAGCACCCTCTATGAGTCAAAGCTGGAACTGCAGCATGCAAAACTGAGAATGTTTATAAGCAGACATTGAGCTGTTAGACGAATATGCTCACAAATTGTGTTTTGTCTGAAATATGAAAAATCATTGGTAATGTTACATGTATAGTGGACCACATTAACAATATGGAAATCAAAATGTAATTTAAAAACAAAGAAATGTGATAACCTGATACCATCACTGTGGTATTATATATCTAAGTACAATATCCCTTACATTTTAGGTTACACTTTATTTTAAGGTGTCCTTGTTACAGTGTAATTATACATTTAAGTACTGAGTAATATTAATAAACTACATGTACTTACTATAGGGATAGGGTTAGGATTAGGGTTTGGCTTAGGGTTACTTGCATGCAATTATGCATAATTTAGTGTTATTATAATGGTAATTACATGTAACAAGGACACCTTAAAAGGCTTAGGGTTACTTGCATGCAATTATGCATAATTTATTGTTATTATAATGGTAATTACATGTAACAAGGACACCTTAAAATAAAGTGTTACCAAATTTTATATAATAATAATAATAATAATAATAATAACAACAACAACTATTGTTGTTGTTGTTGTTGTTGTATGCATAATGGTTGTATAAACCCCATACTGCCCTTGTACCATAATACTTTTTGTAAGGGTCTGGATTTGTTACATAATACTGAAATGTCAATTTTATGCTATGTATCATTCCCTGTAATCGATATTCTGTATTCTTCTCTTGTTGCCAAATTCGTTCTCCAGTTTTCATTCCATCTTCTCTTTCATCTCATCTCATTCCTTATCTCCGTTTCTCTTGCTTCTTCTATTCTTCTCTCTCATTTGTGCCTTTCTTTTGCTCATTTCTTCTTTCTTTCATTATTCTCTCTATCAGGGAGGGATGTTGGATCGATATTGTGTTTAACATCACCTTTTAGCTGCACGCAGCCTCCAGCTAACAAGTCCCACACGGGTGACCTTTGACCTGTGCGATCGATGCTGGCTCGGGCCCTCACGGGAGTGCTGCTACGGATTGGGGGACGCTGAACACGCTGGACGTTTGACTTCCGCCACAGTTGAGAAAGGTGAACTGGAGTCGTCACGAATGGCAGCCTGAAAGAGACATAAACAACATTAGGAAGAGGGTTACTTGTGTGACAACAAAAGTGGATTACGAGCTTCTGAGATGCAATATTTTAATTATTCTTATTATTGTCTGGGATAACACATTAGTAACAATGAAACTGTGTCTTTCACAATTATGTTTTTCATTGTGGAACACAAAAGGAGTTATTTAGAATATGTTCAAACAGTGTTGAATATTGTGAATGGTGACCAAGTCTGTTAAGCAAGATTTTCAGGGAATAATGACTTTTTGATCCTTAAAAAAAGGCTATTGTATGGTTTCAGAACACTCGGAAAATATAGTGCACAAGTTATCCACCTTATTTATCCCGTATAGGCGCCGACATTTTGTAAATTGTATGGGTCTGGCTTCCAGTGTTATTCGCTTCCAGCTAATTTTAGCTGTACAAAACAGCTCATTGTGCAGCTTGATATTGCAAATTGGTGTGTCTTACCATATTATTTTAATGTATTATCTTAATTATGAACACACTGGTTTATAGTGCAAACAGTTTTACCGTTTACTGCACGTTGTTATTCTTCTCATTATTTTCCAACAGCGGCAAATGAACCGGAAGTTCATTCTTTCGCTTTGAAAAATAAGGTGTATATGGACTACTTTAATGACCACTTTATTTAGTTATTTATTTATTTTACATAAAAAGACTGTAAAATGCTGGAGTAAAACTTTATTATCTTGTGAAAATGTTAATTGGTTAATTAGTTATCTTACCATAAATTGTGAAAAATGTACATGGTTTAACATCATTTATATGTGGAGGGTTTCAGAGGAACTCTGAAAGCATGCTGCGAAATGCTCTAGTGAATGCTAACTAGCCATTTAAAATGTAAAGCAGTAAGTTCATTGGCTGTGTGTGCAACATGAACCAATCAGCTTGTGCCAAGTAGTTTAACGCTGTGAATATCATCAGTTTGTGTTAACGACCCATCAGCTTGCACCATCTAGAGTTTCATGACAGAACTTGGCATGCATATTAAAGGGTTAGTTCACCCAAAAATGAAAATTAGCTTGTGTTTTACTTACCCTCGAAGCATCCTAGGTGTATATGACTTTCTTCTTTCAGAGTTATATTAAAAATTGTCTTTGATCTTTCAAGCTGTTTAATGCTTTCTCATGGATTCGCTACATGGGGCCTTTACTCATCCCCCGGGGCCGTCTGCGGCACGTTTTATTATGAATGCGCGAGCTTTATTTGACGACTTGTGGACTGTTCAACTGCAACACCCGCTGAGTGCCATTAAACAGCTTGAAAGATCAAAGACAATTTTTTATATAACTCCGACTGGATTACTCACCCTCGAAGCATCCTAGGTGTATATGACTTTCTTCTTTCAGAGTTATATTAAAAATTGTCTTTGATCTTTCAAGCTGTTTAATGGCACTCAGCAGGTGTTGCAGTTGAGCAGTCCACAAGTCGTCAAATAAAGCTGGCGCATTCATAATAAAACGTACCGCAGATGGCTCCGGGGGATGAATAAAGGCCCCTTGTAGCGAATCCATGAGTTTTTGTAAGAAAAATATCCATATTTCAAACACAATAAACACTTTTCTCTCACTTCCGGTATCTGTCATACACGGAAGCCATTCCGGCAGATGACGTAGTACGTCGGCGTTGCCTGATTAGTGGCGAATGCGGAAAGAGAACAAAACAAAACGCCAGTCACGACTTAGAAGTACAAACCAAGGATTTGCAAAGAAACATGTTGGAGGATTTCGATATAGACCAAGAGGAGACTGGTTTTCCTTTGCTAAAGTAAGGAAACTTTGCTTCCTTTGCTCCTATTAAACAAACTCGTGAGACTTGCATATCTCAGAGGCGCGCGCGCTGCGCATACGTCATACGCCTTCCGCCGGAACGGATCCGCGTATGACAGATAACGGAAGTGAGAGAAAAGTGTTTATTACGTTTGAAATATGGATATTTTTCTTACAAAAATATCTTTCTCATGGATTCGCTACATGGGGCCTTTACTCATCCCCCGGGGCCGTCTGCGGCACGTTTTATTATGAATGCGCGAGCTTTATTTGACGACTTGTGGACTGTTCAACTGCAACACCCGCTGAGTGCCATTAAACAGCTTGAAAGATCAAAGACAATTTTTTATATAACTCCGACTGGATTCGTCTGAAAGAAGAAAGACATATACACCTAGGATGCTTCGAGGGTAAGTAAAACACAAGCTAATTTTCGTTTTTGGGTGAACTAACCCTTTAACATATATCACCTAATGAATATATGGTTATTACAAGTTGTATAATATACATGCACCAATATACAGTACCATTCTGTAATTAACAGAAATGTTGGCACAGTATCAGTATGTATGTATGTATGTATGTATTCATTCATTCATACATACATACATACATACATTCATTTATTCCCATTTGTGCTTTTTGGACCTTGGACAGCCTTGGTCACTATTCATTTTGATTGTATGGAAAAGAACAGCATGGACATTCTTTAAAATGTTCCATTAAGGAAAGAAACTCACACAGGTTTGGAATGACATTAAGATACATGTAGAGATGATGATGTACTGAATATTCATATTTGGGCAAACTGCAAACGGACACCCAACAGACACATGCAAGCAATGGTACTTTGCATGTCCACAAATAGTAATCAAATCCACCAATTGGGACACAGCTTTGGCCAGCATAAACCAATGTTAGCATTGTATTATGGTATGTTTTACATCTAATGTGTTTACATTTTCTATTACAAGTTCAAAAAGTATATGTATATGCATTTTTCTAGCAGTTTTCAATAGTTTTAATTTACCATAAAAACTGTTTTTTTTTTTGTTTTTTTTAGTGAGGGAGTAATGAACACTATTCGTGTGAACCACAGTCATCACGCCCCCTTACTTTCTTTCCTTTCTTCAACTTTTTCTCAGAGGTTTTCACATCTATATTTAAAACATCAACATCTTTTTGAAGAAACGTGTGCGTTTCCAACCTCGCCACATGATAAACCAATAAAATATAGATGCATATTTCAAACATCACACTAATCGGCATCAACATCAAAACACATCTGGTTATTAAAGCTTCTCTCTCTCCTACTGTAGCTTCAGCTAATACAGAGCTTTTTTTAAATGTCATTGCCTTTATTAAAATTACCGAGATGGTTTACCTTGCATAAACATATATGCAATAACATTCCAACATGCTCAATTTAAAACCAAATGGCAAAACTGAGAAATATATGAACATAAATGAATTACAACAATGACAGCTAGCATACATACATGTATATGTGTGTATTCCTGAACTAATATAGCAGTTTACTAAAGTAGGCACCAACCAAAGTGATTGTACTTCAAACACCCATTTCCATTTGTGGCCTCTTGGGATTGACCCTGCCTACACAGGGCCTATTGACTGACAGCTATGGCAGCCATTAAGCAGCCAGAGGTCCAATAGGCCTCGCAATAACTGCGTTACAGGTCCTACACTAGAAACCGTTTATGTGGGCCACACACTCGAAAACCTTCAGTCTTGGGAAAGCCAATTGGGAAACCCACATCAACGGCCATTACAGCTCTCACTGAACACAATAAAGCAAAGTCCGCTGTATCGCAGCTTTAGTCTCTGACCTTTTCTTGCTGAAATTAAAAGTTTGGGAAGAAGTTAGCAGAGGTTTGAGCCAGGTCCGGTGATTATTGGAGCTGTAATTGTTTGAAAGTAGAGGGCTCTCATAGCGGGAAGCTAATGGTAGCTAATGGTGCCTGATACCTACAGCTTGTCCATTTAAATAGCCTAGTGAAACCCTCATTTACACATTACCCACAAAACTCTCCACAAAAGCACTTTTCACATATGCTACACACAATCAGGTGAAAACAAATACTCACAAGTTTCTGTGTATGTATGCTTTTCTGTGATGGCAAAAAATGGGGTTTCATTGTTCTCTGATATAGAACTTTAAGTGAGTGACAAATCAGTTGTACCTTTCTTAAGTCTATCATCTTTGAAGCACCCCTGAATGTTGCCATGATGTTGGTCTACTTGGTCTATTCATTTATTCAATATATGTAAAAAATATTAAACAATTTTTGATTAAAAACATAAAATGACCTGAAAACAGAATGCTTTTTTTCTAATTAAAAGTTTAATTTCTGGACTAACAGGAAAGAAAAAAAATCATGGCAATGGCAAATGAAGGTCAGGTTCTGAAAGAAAGAAAGAAAGAAAGTTTTACTTTCTCAATAATAATAATAATACATATTTTAATAAAAAAATTACAATTATTAATAATAATAATAATAATAATACAGATTTAATAAAAGTAACATGCAATTGTTATTTATAATAACAACAATAATAATAATAATACATTTGAATAAAAAATAACGTTTAATTGTAATTAATAATAATAATAATAAATATTTTCATAAAAATTTACATTTAAGTGTTATTAATAATAACAATAATAATAAAGAAACATTTAATTGTTATTTACATTATAATAGTGCAACAATAAATAAATGAATAAACCTTTATTATCATTTACAGTAACAACAACAAATAAATAAATAAATAAAAACAAATAAATAAAAACCTTTTATTTTCAGTACCAACAACAACAATAAAATATAATAATTATAATAATAATAATAATAATAACTTTAAAAATCAATAAATTAATCAGTGAATCAAGCAATAATTAGGAAGCCATTAGAGATGCATGGCATATATTTTCATTGTGATTGTTGAATGAACAACTTAGTTTGCATGTGTTTTATGTATTGTTAATAAAGAATAACACTAAAGCTCATCAGAAAATATTTTAATTCAGCCAGTTAATCAGGCAATAAGCTTGTAAGACAATGCACAAGAATGACAAAATGAAAAAAAGCATCAATTACACACCGAATGCACACCCTTTTCTCTTCATTTTGTTGCATTAGTGTAAGAAAAAAGCTTCCTATCTTTGTCAGCAAGTGAAAAAAAGACTAAAGAAATGTGAAATTGCTCAACACATTCATTTTATTCCTACCAAAATCACTTAAAACAGACATCACATTGTAATTATGACTTCCGAACTCATAAGTAGGGACTTCCCAGGAGGATGTGAGAACAGAATAAATCCATATTCATATAATTTTATTGCACACCAGAAGAATGTACTTCACCAGAGGGAAAGTACACACTTTTGATTATGTAGTAAGACAGTGAGCCAATACTAAGATAAACTACTACCATAAAATTGCGTCTTAATACCAAAGACATGGTCCTTGTTGCAAGCTTCAAGTGATAGCATGTTAGCATTAGCATCTAGCAAGTAATACACTACTCACAAAAAATTAGGGATATTCGACTTTTGAGTGAAATTTATGGAAAATGTACTTCATGCTACAGTGGTATTATATCATGAAAGTAGGGCATTTAAGTAGAAGCATGCAATGGTAATCTCTTCATCTCAAACTATTTATTGAAACAAAAGCTATCAACAGTGGTGGGTATACCACAACAAAAAAGTCAATGTCTCAATAACTTGCCATGTGTCCTTGAGCATCAATTACAGCTGGACAATGACGTCTCATGCTGTACACAAGTCGACGTATTGTCTGCTGAGGCATGGCATTCCACTCTTCTTGCAGGGCTGCCCTCAGGTCATTGAGGTTCTGGGGTGCAGGGTTACGACCCTCTACACAACGACTCAGCCGATCCCATAGGTTTTCTATGGGATTCAGGTCTGGAGAAAGTGCAGGCCACTCAATTTAAAGTACCACAGCCTCCAGCAGCCGTTCCCTGATGATGCGACCTCGATGAGCTGGGGCATTGTCATCCATGAAGATGAAATCAGGTAATCTCTTCATCTCAAACTATTTATTGAAACAAAAGCTATCAACAGTGGTGGGTATACCACAACAAAAAAGTCAATGTCTCAATAACTTGCCATGTGTCCTTGAGCATCAATTACAGCTGGACAATGACGTCTCATGCTGTACACAAGTCGACGTATTGTCTGCTGAGGCATGGCATTCCACTCTTCTTGCAGGGCTGCCCTCAGGTCATTGAGGTTCTGGGGTGCAGGGTTACGACCCTCTACACAACGACTCAGCCGATCCCATAGGTTTTCTATGGGATTCAGGTCTGGAGAAAGTGCAGGCCACTCAATTTAAAGTACCACAGCCTCCAGCAGCCGTTCCCTGATGATGCGACCTCGATGAGCTGGGGCATTGTCATCCATGAAGATGAAATCAGGCCTGTGTTGCTCATGCAGAGGCACAATGACTGGATTAATGATGTTATTCAGGTAGTATTGGCTTGTCACAGTACCATTCACAAGGTGTAGGGCAGTTCTGTATTGACTAGACACACCTGCCCAGACTGTAACACCAGACAACAGTGGCTGATGCATAGAATTCTCCTTGACGTCTCCAACAGCGTTGGCGGCCATCATTTATGCTTAATGTGAATCGACTTTCATTAGAGAACATCCCGTTTGAAGCTTCGCAATGGCCAGGTACTGTTGATAAATTGTTAGGTGTCGTCTTGGTTTCATGATGTCAAAATGTGAACAGCATGATGAAGAGGAATGTTTAAATACAAATTGTCATTGAACCAGAACATTTGGTGGTCAATTCAAGGATCAGACACTTGTTGTGATT